TAAAAATTCTTACAGAAAGTATCATTAAATGAATATCCAAAGCTCTAAATGTATAGTTGATTAAAAGGCTGTAAATCAGTACCACTGATGGTACGCAGCCTCTCTATGTGTAGGTGAAAGAATCACAGTTTAGTCGTGTTTTTACTTTACAGTACAATAGATTGTCATTTAATCTTTAATAACTTCAGTATTTGTTTTTAACCTTTTAAGTAATTATTACATTTTACTTATGTACGATACATCAATTTAATCATTATTGAAATACACTTTTTAATCATCCTGTAGTTAAGCACTTGTTAAGTCTTGTTTTTGATGAACACTTGGGCCCACTACTGTATTTTGATATTGATCTTCATGTTTTTCAGTTATTTTTATGGGGTCCCTGGTGTAATAAGTTTGGAGAACCACTGCTCCAAAATATTTTAGAAGGTATCATGATTCTTTCGAATGACACAGAAGATTGTGGTTCCTCAAGATTTTCAGAAATATTAATCATTTTAAATATATCAAAATGAAAAGGGTATTCTTTTCATTACCTTTATAATAACACTTTAAAATCCTTTGCCACACAATTACTCTAGGTTGTTTCCAGCTAAAAGACAATCATTCATCAAATTGACATTCACATTCAAGCCATTTTCAGCCAGGACATGAACACAATATGACTTTGATTTTGCCCTTTTGCCAAAGATTTTGCTTTCGAAGGATTCAGGTTCGGTTCAGGCAAAAGTGAGAGGCTCATAAAGCTGCAGTAATTGTGTATGTGCGTCATATTTGCATCAACAACTGGATTCCCATCTTGCAATTTTTCACATACAAAACAAACACAAACATCTTGAAGGGTGCACAATGCAGAAGGTCGCAGTGAGCAACCTTTGGGATGAGTGTGTGAAGCTTCCCAGTCAGAAGAGATGCAAAATGGCCTTAATTGTTGTGTCGGGAAGACAATTCAAAAGGTCATTTGGACGGTTGATGTCAACATGCAGCAACGGCTTGCTATCACGTTCACGTCCCACATTCACAGTTCACTGTGCAAAGCTTTACAATGCACCGGTTCCCTTGTCAGTGTCTCCGTGCCCCTCTGGGACGCCAAAACAGAAGAAAGAGCATTGCTGATATTTCTTTAACGCAGCCTCTCTTCATCTCTCCCATTTTTTAATTTGCTTTCTGTCTCCTGGCGGAATCACGCCCCTCACAACTGACACAGCATCGCTTGGAGAGTCCAACCACTGCAGATCACTGGCAGTGTGGACTGTCTCCATGGCAACAGCAGAGCACATATTCCTGAGCTCAGACGGCCCGATGAGAGGGATGAGACCACAGACTGTTGCGGAATCGGCTGCGAGCGACAATTTGAGGGGGTATAGATTCTGGAAACAGGTGTCCTGGTTTCCGTCTGCGTCCTTCCCGTGAACCCAAAGACAGAGCTGCTCGTTGCTTTGAAAGGTTCTCATTTCTGTGCCCCGCTAATGTGGGCTGACAGTCAGTCAGCAGACATTCACTTGAAATGTCCCGCTAATGTGGCCTGACAGCCAGTCAGCAGACATTCACTTGAAATGGAGAGTTGTGGGGGTGTCCCAAAGTTTGTTCACAAAGATGCAAGCGGAGAGTTGCGGGGGTGTCCCAAAGTTTGTTCACAAAGATGCAAGCGCAGTCCTCACGTGAACGCTTTCAGAATCCATGTCAAATATTCGAATAGCATTTTTCAATCCACATACATATTGTACAATGTTCCCCACTATTATCACGGAGTTTTAAGCAACCATTTTTGAAGGTTTATGTTTTCTTTTCTTCTTTTTAAGAGTTGTGTGCTTTAATTGTAGTACTATGTTGTGACTTAACATGCTGGATATAACAATGGTGGGAGAAGGCAGAGAATTCCAGTAGTAGTCGTTCCCACAGAGCAGAGACGTATGCCTGTGAGTATTGTATGCTCTTTTTATGTGTTACTGCTCCTTGTCTGTTGAAATCACAGTTATTTGAAGGCTTAAAGTTGCTGTAATATGTACACTCATTTCTGTCAGTCCATCTACAGCAGGGTTGTCAAACTCATTTTTGTCGTGGGCCGCATTATAGTTACCGTTTCTCCTGGAGAGCCATTATGGCTGTGAAACCATATAAAGAAGTCAAGAATAATGGTTGATTCAACTACAGTATTGTTTAAATTATTGTAATGAGGCAACAAGAAAATGCTTACAATGTTTCTCTTATTTATTGCATATGAGAAGTTGAAATGTTGGTACAGATCTGAGCAATCATCATCGAAGCTGACATGTTTGATTTGCTTTCGCGGGCCACATAAAATGATGTGGAGGGTCAGATCTGGCCCGGGGGCCTTGAGTTTGACACCTGGGATCTAGAGCATTAAACATTATGGGCCCTATTTTCATGCTCTGCACAAGTCGAGCACAAAGTGCAGTTTAACTGTGCACATTGGGTTTTCTTTCATTTGGTACATTTTGCACAGATAGAATAGGGTTTTAGCGGGCCTTTGTGCCATTGTGCACCGTTGTGGGATGGAACACAACCGACTCCGGGCCAATCGAGACATCTCCCCTCACTTGTGTTCAAATCAGAGTGATCGAAGCATAAATAGACCCAGTGGGGTCAGTGCATGACATTGGCACACGCCAATTGTGTTGATAACAGATAAAATTGCTGCATTGGCTCACTGTGTGCATTAGCATTGAATTTAAAGTGCTTTTATTCGTTTTTAAATGTCTTCACGGTCTTGGAGGATCTTATTTATCTGACCTGCTTTTATCATATCAACCGTTGCGGATCCTGCGGTCCTCTGGCACTGGCCTTTTAATTATTCCCAGGGTGAGGACCAAAACACATGGTGAGGCTGCATTCAGCCATTTTGGTCTATGGAATAGCCTGCCAGAGAACATCAGGTCTGCAGGGACTGCTGACGTTTTAAAGAGGAGGCTTAAGGTACATCTTTTTAGCTTGGCTTTTGAATAACTTATTTATATAATTATTTTCATTTCAGCCTTTTACATTTATTGATCATTTTTTATTTTTAAAAGCCAGTGTTTCCTCATCGGGGGCCTCCACGCTGGGAGGTATGGTTCTTGTCACTCATTGTGGCTCAGCTCGCTTTGGGTGCTTTTTTTCCTCATATGGTTTCTCTGTGCCTTGCCATGACTTCTTTCGTTTCAGGATCATTAGGGTTTGTGTGCAAGTTTTGTGTGTGTGTGTGTGTGTGTGTGTGTGTGTGTGTGTGTGTGTGTGTGTGTGTGTGTGTGTGTGTGTGTGTGTGAGCATAGGCATACTTGTGAGGACATATATTTGTGTATGTTGAGGGGAGGGGGCGTCCTCTTTTTATATTGTAAGTTTGAAATGTTTTAACTGTACAGCACTTTGAGTTGCATTTTTATGAATGAAAAGTGCTATATAAATAGAGTTTGATTGAGAAACTTTAAGGTCGCTCCTTGAGAATGATGTAGGCTGCCGTGCATTTGCTGTCAGCAACTGAAGACCGCCTTGCAGCTACAACCGTGCGTCAGTGTGTGAACCCCCCCACCCCCACTTCAACATCATCACTCTTCCATAATATACTGTAGTCCTCATTCAGCAAAATAGTGTGACTCCTTTTTGTGCCGATACCAACCTTAATTTGAGCATTTTGTGTTTCTGTAAACTGGTTGACAGAAACCAAAGACAGGAAGAAATGTATCTGATCTTAATCTGAGCGGCCGTCTGGGGATTATAGGAAAATAATGTGAGACGAAATTCATCCCTCAAACTCAGGATCTGCCATTGCCTGCATATGAGTTATCTCACCTTGTTCTATATTTACTGTATTGGATAATGTAGATTACAAGCAGATATAATTATAATTTACATTGAGGAAATAGAATCCGTTAAGGCCTGCTGATAAAACACATTCTGAGATTGCAATGAGGCCCTGGTCCCTAATAAAAACCCGTAAACATTTGAGCGCTTGCTTACAAGACACTCAGTGCGAATAGATAAACACAGTTCTTTGTTTATGCATGCAGATCCGGTTTCAGGGTCGCTCACACGTCAAACCCTCATTGTGAGCAATGACCCTCTTTGACTCGCCCACATATGGCGCACAGTGGGTGTTGGTTTCAGCCCCGTGGCTTCATGCACACACTAAATGTCATGTTGTCATGTGAGCCATTGTGGTGTCTGATACTTGTCGATGTTTTGAGGTACAGGATAATTACGGGGGGGTTGAGATGGTGGTGGTGGTGGGGCGGGGGGGGGGGCGTCCCTGGACCTGTTTGCCTGAAACGGGGCCACGTGAGGGACTGAACTAAAGCCTTAAGAGGATTCAGGACAGATGGTGTCCCATTGTTTCAGAATACCTTTATTATTATTGGAAAATAGGGCGAATTATGGAATTACGGACCACCCTCCATATCAGCATTCTTTGAGGTAAACAAAGTTGGTCCTCTTGAGTTAAGTGTTTACCACAGGATGATCTGATTGTTCAATCGTGACATCAGTTCATCACAGTTTAACCAAAGCTCTTCTATGCCCCAATTTAAACTCCGCTGAAAGCACAAGATTTACTTGTCTCACTTCCCTCCCTGATTTTCTGTCTCATCTCACCAGATGGAGAGGGGGCAGCGATGCTCTGCGTGTGTTCGTGTGAGTGAGTGTGCACTTGTGTAGATGGCTGCAAATATTTACAGCTCTTGCACATTTGGCCATCACGTTGTGCAGATACCCCCCCCCCCCGCAATAAAGACTGCATTGAATGAAAGGTGAATAAATCTTGAAGAGACTACAATTTGGCACGAGCAATCCACCTAACCTGGCATTTGCAGGTGCAAAGTATAGCGAAAGAGCGAGAGGTTGTGCGCAAGCGTTCAGAAGCGCTGGGGGGAGGGGATAGAGGTAGGGTGGGGGGCTCAGGAAAGAGAGAGAGAGAGAGAGAGAGAGAGAGAGAGACAGGGAGAGAGCGAGAGAGAGAGAGAGAGAGAGAGAGAGAGAGAGAGAGAGAGAGAGAGAGACGGCGCGCCACAAGTCCACAACGCCGAGCATCAAGTCCCCACTCCACGATCCACCACCCATCCTTTTACTCTAAGCCCCCCAGTGCCACTATAGGAGACCCTAAAGCTCCATAATAATGGATGGAACAAAGCCGGCCATGGACTCCAACGCGGAGGAGACTCAAGATGAAGGACAGGAAAGCAAAGGTAGGCTTCATTTCCTGTTGCCATTTGTGCCTCGTTCTTTTTTTTTTTTTGGAACGGTTTGCGCCAACCTGAATTCTGTTTCAGTCGCTTGGCTTACCGCTCCAAACAAAAGCGGTGCTATTATTCTACCTTCCCAAGGGAAACAAAGCACCACCTAGCCCGTGGTGCAGATTTGGTGTTACTGCGCGCCTTAAATGGAAGATATCCTTCTGACTTACACGTTAGTATTTAGAGCGCTTCGCCCATGCGCGTGCACGACTCACGTTTTTACCTGAGACCTCCTCATCATCACCATCATCATGTGCGTCGATCGGGAGCTCAGTGTTGTGAGGAAAGCATCATTTTAGGGTTTTTGCTTCTTCATCTGGCAGCATCGATCTGCCGGCAAGGAAGCTGCAGAAAGGTCCGCGCACTTGACGCAGAGGCACGGTCCGAGGAATCACACACAGGAGCATCACTGTTCAGGCTCCACGTAAAAGCTTCCTAAAAGGGCGTGAAGCTGAATCACACTGCGTTTGTGTGCGTGTGTGCGTGTGTGTGTGTGTGTGGGGGGGGGGGGTTGAATCTAAATGACGTCAAATTGTTGCTGCTTTTCCCTCTTTGTGTGACTGGCGAACGTGTGTCACAGTGCAGAGGGCTTTTTTATTTTCCATCACACTTTCATGTGCAGATATTATGCACAAACACAACGAAATCTTAAAGAGAATGTGGACAGGTAATCTGACTGTACAAAGTGTAATTAAATTACTTTCAATACGGTGGTATTTGTGTGTTGGGGGTGTGCCTTTCAGGGGCGTGGCTTAGCCTTGGTTGGTTGTCTACGTGTGAGCATCTGGGTGTTCGTTGTGGCCTACACCAGCTCCTTGCAAGTGTTCTCATTTTGTATTTGTGTGTTTGACTGTTTCTCCTGTCGAATAAACGGCTGAGTCAGGGCATTAGTTTCTTTTCAATCATTTTTTTTCATTCGGCATTTCTGAAGCCAGACCTCAAATTCACTTGGTGTTAAATTTAGGTCTGTTCAGCTGAACTTTGGCCATGTAGTGGAAATAAGTCTGCCTGTCATGTCCCTAGGATAGATTGATAGATAAATCTATCCATTCATCCATTTTCCGATCCACTTTATCCTCACAAGGGTCGTGAGGGTGGTGGAGCCTATCCCAGCTGTCTTCGGGCAGTAGGCAGGGGACACCCTGAACCAGTTGCCAGAAAATCGCAGTGATGGATAAATAAACACACATAATTTTGCATTAATAAATCATAAGTGAGGGTAAGTGGTTAATTTCTCACAGTGGTGGGGAAGCAGTGTTTGTATGATCTTTTTTGTTCTGTTGCCTTAAAAAGTGGCCTTTCAAGTTTGACTGCCAGGCAATAACCACAATTTTTGCAATTTGCATGCCTGAGACACAAGCATGGACTCTTGGGCAGTCACAGTGTCTCTTCCCAGCGATGCTGATATAAATTGGAGACAAGGAGGTGTCCCTCCACTCTGATGGTTTAAGAAGCGATTACATCACTCCCTCCCGAGGCGTGCCGCTACACATGCGGCTCTACTGGGAACCCATCGGGCAACATCAGCTGGGCGAGCCCGTTTGAAGACCACGCTTTCCCCTGCGAGGATAGTGGAGCACCAGGGTGGCCATGTTCACAATGAGTAGTTAACCCTGTGAATCCTTTAATCACCAGTTAAGGTGAGTGATCCTCAAGTAGCTCCAGGTGTGATGCTGCACAAGTGAATCTACCGACATTGGTTCACTGAAATAGATTGCAGGGTGGCGTATTTGTGTAATCATTTGTGTGCGCGCCTTTTGACATCTGGAATGTGACCATGAGCTTATCACATCCAATAAGATGCTGAAGATTTACAGTGAGGGGCCAAACGACGAGAGTGCTCGAATAAGAAGCTTGTGTTGCCGGGTGCCAGCCGCTTTGGCTCAAAATCGTTTTGTAAGTTGCATGGCATGATGTTAAGGTATACGGCTCAGGATCAAACCATGGAGGCGCAGATTGTTAACTCTCAGGCCTGACTGATGTGGATTTTATGATGCTGATACGATTCCGATATTTGACGGATCACCGATATACAGGTGTAATGAACAGAATAACTCTACAGTCAAATAATACAAAATGAACACACTCGCAAGGAGCATGGAGAATATGTTCACATTGGAAGCAGTGCAGTCAGAACTCCTGATGTCATTCACTAGGCCAAGCCCCTTAAAAGCAGACATTCAACACAGGTTACCTATTGATTACACTTTATAAAACCTGTTTATTTCTTCACATGATCTTGTATTATTTTTTTTGGAATAATGTTTTTACCTTTTTACTATACAAAGCTATTTTTCTAAATTAAAAACTTTTAAGAAGCGAGCCATATTGATGTTTTCCCGATGACACATATCACAAATGAAAACCATGGAGAACATTACATTGGCTACCACACTGGAAAAAATGGTGTGTTGAATTCACTCAATTTTGTTTCGTCAAGTTACATAATCATCTGGATCCAGGTTTTTTTTTTCTGACTATACATCTAGTTTAAGAAATTTATCTGGAATTCAACAACCTTTTTCTTCAGTGTAGATAGGGGTGGATGGAGGGTTACCGACAGATATCTAACCTATCAGGGCAGGCTTCACAGGGGCCGCCCCACACTGAAAAAAGTTTTTGTTGAATTAACACAATTTAATTTCATCAAGTGGTTGCATGAAACAAAATCATCTGGATCCAGGAACATTTTTTCAAGCAGTCTAAACATCTACTTTTTTAAACATTTTATTTCAGTGCAACATGCTTGCGGCCCTAAAAGTGTTCCCATTTTGCCTCCGAGATCCAAGCGTAGGTTTCAGCTCACCCTATCATTTTGTTTGGTTGCTTCCTATAAGCATGCTGTTTGAAGACCCTCTGAGGATGGTCCGCTTCCTTTCTCTGACGTTCAGTTTGAAAGCTTTGTGATGAGATAAAGCAAAAACCTCCTTGAAGCCCCTGTCAAGCTGCACCTTCCTAGCGTGTTACGTAAAGCAGCGGCTCCTCGCTGCCCTCACTTTCGATGCTCAGATGTGGTTGAGATTACGTCATTGTCTGGAGGGGTGCAAAATGCTGCAAAGGGAGGTGAAGAAAGTCTTGTTTTTTTCAACAAAGATTGTGTAAAGGAAAGGATCAGCAATCTGAGAATTCATGCAACCACTGTGACCATCAAGAAAAAGATGAGATTAACTTTATGACTGCCAGAACGGGGAAAAGGTCTTTGAATGAAAAGGTCAACTATGGTTTGATGGCCATCTGTCAGATGCTGGGGCTGACATTTGGTTTGTGTTGCTGATAATGATGGAATCCTCTTCAACCCTTCATCCTCGTCTTCATCTACGAATGATTTGTGGCAAAAATATTTGTCGGCTCCACGAATGATTTGTGGCATATGTGTTGTGTCTTTCGTTAGCCTGGAAACCACAAAAATTCCCCATCTAATCTGAAGAAACACTTACAGGTAAAGTATAAAGTGTAAAGAAAAGCCAATTCATCAATTTCTGTTAATACGTTCATATGAGCAAAGCTAGGGGAATACCTTTGAATGCATAAGAGCCAGAGTTAACAAAAGAGACAAACTACTTTGTGTGAAGATACATGTAAACTATTTTTATAACCAGACTAAATTTAATTGACAGTCAAAAATTATTTAGACTTTTGTAATTCAGTATACTTAAGAATCTGTACTTCAGAGAAATCTGTACTTCTTTTTTAAAAACAGCCTTTTTTTTTCAAAACATATATCTGTTTTTTTTTTTTATCCATTTGTTAGACTGATATGCACTTCACAAAACACTGGACAAACCACATGCCTTGATTCTAAGTGTTCTCAACACCTGTTTCCTGAGTTTGGTCATGTGACGGTGCAAGCTGAGCATCAGTATAGAACGCAAAGAACATACTGTAAAGACATATTTTGGCTTGATTTCCCCTTTAACCATTTTTTTGTCCCTGCCAAATATATTAGGGTGACTCTTCCACCTCAAAGTTCTGGGAGGCAAATTCCAGAGTCTGGCTCCATTGCAGGGGCCTGCAGGGGTCATCCACAGTGGTGGTTTGGTGACCTTTGGTTTGAATCACACAATTCTTGTCTAAAGGTCATTGATTTTGATGAAGGATTTATGTTAGCTGAGAACCAACTCATGGATAAGATGAGGGGAGATCATCTAAGAGCAGAAGAAGTGAGCTGGTCCTTATGTTAGCGGGTCAATAAGGCAACAATTGATATTTATAGTGAAAGTTTGTAATCAAGATTTGGATGTAGCCTCACTTCACCAATCCCTCAAGTGTATGATCAAAGTGCGTTGTTGTCATTTTAACGTCAAGTCAGACTGCATGTCAACATTAATATCAATGACTACTTAGAGGTTGTCTTGCCGTAAACTAGCAGTAGTAGCAATACTAAGATTGAATGAGCCCTGGAAACAAGACAATGCTAGCCACGGTTGCTAAGCTGATAGCATGACTCATTCACAATGTTTCTATACAGGTAACACTAAATGTTAGTAGTCCGAATTTATTATTTTTTTTAAACATAAAATCAATTCAAAATCAAAAGGAGGTGGTAGATGTACCTGTCGAGCAGGAATGTTGCTGACTTCGGGTTGCTGTTCTGAACCCTGTCCGGTGTCTGAGGTCCCTTTGCTCCAGGGATGGCACCAGGGTGTATTCTCTTCGGGGGCTTGGGAGGGGAGGCTTGACCGATATGTGAGGGTCTGAGAAAAGAATGCATTTTCATGACATCGCTTTCTTTATTTTGAGTTTCTCTGTTTTTTTCCAATGAGTGGATGATAAACAGCACGAGCAGGATTGATATGTAAGTACTTTGAACCAAACACGACCAATGAACCTTCAACAAAATAGTTAAGCCTAATAAAAGTGACCACACAACAATGTCAAAATCCAAACAATAGATTGAAATGCAAAATTTTTCTTCTTGACAATGAATTCAAATCGATGCTGTATGGCCTACA